CATATCTTTAAGCAAATCCTCTACTCAGATTCTCACATGGAGAATCTGGAAATAGACAAGATAAGATGAGATAAGATAAATAAAATAGAAAATAAAATAAATAAAATTAAATAAAATAAAAAGAGATGTCGTATGGAGTCATTAAACGGAGATTTTAAAAAGAAAAGTCAGTTGGATAGTGAGATCTGGTTAATCAATCCATGTGGTTGTCAATGACAAGAAGATGCCTTTCCTTCAGAAACACCGGTGAACTCGAGGTTGTTAGGGCTGCAGAAACAAAGCACCACACGCCTGGTGGTTTAGAACCACAAAGGTCTTGCCTCGCAGACCTGGAGGCCAAAACCAAGTGATGGCAGAGCCAGGCTCCCACTGACGGCAGTAGGGGAGGGTCTGTCCCAGGCCTGTCCTGGCTCCTGGCAGCATAAGTCCAGCCTTCACATGGCGTTCTCCCTGTGTGCGTGTCCATACGTCCCCAGCCATTCTGGGGGACAGGTCCACCTTACTCACCCGCCAGGACCTCATCCTAACCCTGTCTCCAAATGAGACAACAGTCTAAGATGCTGAGGGTTAGAACTTCAACATAAGAATTTTTGGTGGATACGATTCAACCCATAACAATCAGAACAGAAGATTCGAGATCGAGTGCAGATTCACGCTTTCCTTTTCTACCACCCACTGACATCCAAAATCAAGGCTCAGAAAGATCCAGAGTAAAAACCTATTTTAACTTAAAAAAAAAAACCCACCAGATCCTTACGTAGTAACAACCACTGACCTGAGATAACCTTGCACCCTCTTGCGGGAGGCACTGCAGATGGATGGCAGACTGGCGGGTTCTCTCATCTCTCTGCCTTCAGTGACAGCAAAGCATGCGCACGTGCATGCACACACGCGTGCACACACACACACACACGCACACACACAGGTTCTCTCATCTCTCTGCCTTCAGTGACAGCAAAGTGCACGCGCGCACACACACACACACGCACGCACACACACACGCACACACATGCCAAGCAGCCTCCTATGAAGCTGAGGGCAGCCAGTGGGATACTGTCTGGAGGCCCTGGCACAATCCCACGACCCTGGCATAATCTGAATCTGAGGGCACGAAGCCACCTCTGGAGAATCTGGTGAGACTCCAACCCCACACGTGCCCTTCTGAGACAGGCCAGCCCACCGAAATTCAACCCGTGGAATGCATTTGGACAACAGACAAATTGTCAAATTTATGGATTTCTTAAAAGCTTGTTTTTTTTTTTTAACTCTTTTAAAGACTGCAGAAATTTGCCCCGGAAGGGCTGCCAAGGCCCTGGGACCCTCACGGTCTCCCCATCGGTGTGTGTCCCCTCCGTCATTCTGCTCCGTCTTCCTCTGACTCTTTCTCATTCTGTCCCATCGTCTCCCCTTTCTCCTCCTGAGCTGTACAATCCTCCGTTTCCCGGACACCCCATTTTCCTGACCCTTGCTCTTCTGCAGACTTTCTCCGGGTGGAGCGTCTGGAAAGTGCTGGGTATGACTTTTGTTCACTGCACAGGAGTGCCCTGCTAGCTCTGCCCGCCCAAACCCATGGGCGCCCATTTCCGTTTTGTATAAAGGGGGCTGGGGAGGCCCCAGCCACAGCTAGGCTTGGGCTCTGCGAGGCTTCTTGCCCACCTCTCATGAATATGATTTGCTATAAACTTTAGAAAGAATTAAAAAAAAAAAGTTTGGGGTAGGTTGGCAAGTTTGGTAAATCTGGCAAGCGGATCCACTGTCTTCCCCCGCTGGCTCTGCATCGTTATGGGCAGGGTCCACGTACCCTCTCCTTGCCCTCTGCCACCTGCTGGCCTAAGAAACCAACCAGCGCTTCCCCCAGAATTCGTAAAGGCAGCTAGAAAGTGGGAAGGCAAGATGCTAATAGAAAAATAGGATGAAATAGATATCTGCATTGTAGCATGCTGAGGCAGTAGCTTCTTATTAACTTTCAAAAGTGACACAGCCGTATTTTTCACAGGCAAAGGCAGAAGTGGAACCCACAATGCCAGAGCCTGAAGAGCAACCCCGTTGGGATGGACGCACGACTTTTCACGTTGTCCTTGGAGCGTCCGCAGGATCTATGGGGTCAGCTCTTGTCAGAGACCCCGGGAGAAGAAAGAACGGGCTTGCGCAAAGAAGCAGAGCCCAAAAGGGCCTTAGTTCTGGGAGGTGGACAGGAAGCCATGGGACCTTCAGGAAGTCTGTCCTTTGTATGAGACGCGTCCATTGGAATAAACATGAAGTGTGCCGCTCTGGAGCGTTTCGATGGCCTCTGCTCTGTTAATTTCCTGACACTAAGGAGTTTTAAAATTAAAGAAATGAAAATAGACTCGCAAGTAAAGGGCCCCTTAAAAGCTTTAGAAATAGGATCAACTGAGTCTAAGTAAGGAGGCTGTCGCCCAGCAGCGTGGGGGCCATCAGTGCCTTCCTGATTTTTATCTCGCACTGAAGTATTAATTGATTCAGGGGCTTATTAACCATTCATTGTGCACCTTCGGTGTCAGCCAGGGTGCTAGGTCCTCAGGCTAAAAGGTGACTAAGTCAGAGACCCTGCTTTGCAAAGTTTCCAGCCTACAAGGAGCAACAGACATAGAGAATGAATATGGTAAGCACCATAAAAAGGTATGTACATATTATAGTGACAGCTTAACATTTAATTTAGAAAACAGAAACTTCCTTTTTTTTTTTCTAGGCATTTTTTAACAATTCCTTTAGCCAAGATGTTGAACCAATTGATTGACTCATCATCAGGATGATGTATGTGAGACAATTCATAAGCTGCAAACTCAAATACGACTGTTCTCTGACGAAACCACCATTTCTAGCATGGTGGCAGGTGCCCCAGTCATGTGTCCCCACTCACTGGAAACAGGCCCTGGAGGATGATCCTGCAAGGCTGCTTTCCAGCTGGTTCTACGACCGGGGACTTGGGCAAGTCACTTTGCCTCTCCCAGTCATCTCTGTTCCTAAAAAGTTATAGGTCTTGACTGGTTCATCTTCAAGCTCCTTTCCAGCAAGGACCCTGGGTCTCTATTTCTGTGGTGGAGATCTACCCTGAAATACTTCCACTTACAGATGGCAGGATTCGAGTAATTAAATAAAATGTCTCCATGGGAAATCAAACATTCTCCTAGAATTTAGGCAGTTACCGTTTGAAAATAAACATATACGTTTCAGTACAGGTTATTGCCCGTGAGCTGAGGAATATCCTAAACCCGATCGGGTCAAGTTCCCCATCGATCTGACTCATCCGCAGCAGTAGAATGGTGTTTACATGGAGCGAAAGGAGACAGCGGAGGTCAGCCTCTGGGCTGCCGAGCCAGGAATGACCCGAAGCTTCCAGCCTTCTATGCGGATGAGTTCCACATCACAGATCCTGCCATTGAAGTCAATGCGACTTCTGACTTCCAGTAATTTAACATGGTCTCCGGAAGCTGGGGTCTGTTCCCGGAACAGAAACCTTCTCTGTGTTTCCTAAAAATACTCTTTTAAACAGTTTCAAAGTAGTTCAGTGTTTTCCTAATTCTTTAGGGAATTATGGAAAAATCTGCCCACCTTCGAGAGAAATAATGCAAACAGGGGCGCACGGTTGCCTGGGGTAACCTGTCCTGACTCGAACAGCCATGCTCCCAGAAAGCCCTCCCAGGTCCACATCTAGGTGCCACCCCCACCCCGAGTTTCACGAGGGAAGGACTGGGTGGGAGGCGCTGGGCTGGGGTGATGGGTGGCTTAGGATGCAAGGTCACGGTGGGTGATAGAGGTGGTCCTTGATGAGTTATTGGCCTCACATTGCCCGTGTGACACTCTATTCAGGTTTTGGATCACCGGGTCAACGATCAAGCTGTGGATGTTAATTGGATAACATCCATTAAAGGTTTAAAACGTACGTAGGGCTTGATTTTCTAGGACCACTGCCAGGACTCGTCAAGCAAAAGGGTTCTGTGATAACGGTGAGAAGGATGACAGTCGCTGTGTCCTTGTCACCAGCATTCACTGCCTTAGGTCCCAACTATCAGCCACTTACGATGAGACCTGCACACACCCAGGCATTTCTGCAACATTCTTATATCGCACTTACATAAACAGAGAATTCCCGCAGGACTTAACAGGATACATGTAACCACAAAACAAACAAGGAAAACTGAACTGGGTTCAAAAGGCCCATGTTCCCTTTTATCCTATTCTCAGCTCCATCTCTGGAACCCAAAGGGCACAGTCTAAAATGTAATTTTGTCTATAAACGTTACGTTTTTTTTTTTTTTTTTTTTGGCTCCCGTTAATAACTGTTATAAGAAATCTGAAATTATATACCATGCTTTGGATTATAGAGCTTGTAAGTATTTTCTCCGTGTTTTTTGCACGTTATCTTCTACATCTGAATTGCTCACGGGCGTTCATAAAGGAAGGCCGTATCCTGTTTACTGAAGTCTGTGCAGAGTCACCGACAGGCCCTGTCAACAGAGCAGTGTGACCCACGACTGCTCGCGGCTGTATCCGTGAAGATGGCACAGGGCGTGCGATGCAGCAGGGGCTCCACACGTATGTGTGGAACGATGGGTAAGTAAGTAGGATGCATCGGTGTAAGTGAACTTAGGAAAGGAACTTTCACTGGGGAAACTGAAATGCCACCAATTAAACTTGGAAAAGGGATGGGGATGGTTATATGGTTGACGCTAGATATTCAAAATGGTCTGGAAATTATTCAGCAACACGAGTATTATTAAAATGGAAGGCAAAGTCTGCTTCTGGCCAGCGTTTTGGAAGTCCCGAGAAACGCCAGAAGTCGACTTTGTGTTCCCAGGTGCAACGGGCTCCTTGAATGACAATGGTTCATATTTTGGAACGAAAACGTGCTGTAGAGGTTGTTATTAATCTAGAGTAACATCCCATTATGGAATTCGAGATGTCTCCCTTTAATAGAAACATTTCTCCTTTCCCCAAAACAAAAACGGGGGTGGGGTGTGGGGGGTCGCTCTCCTTACCGTTAGTGACAAGGCCATGCACACGAACGTGAACTTCTTGATGTGGGCTGCCGTGACCGTGTTGCTTGTGCTCACCAGTTTATTGCTGGGGTTATTCTGGAGGGGAGAAAAAGACAGTCGTGACTGGGCTCTGGGCTGTCCCTGGCTGACCACGCGTACAACTTTCGAGAGCATCTCGTTTCTGTTTTAGTGGTTGTGTCTGAAGTATAGCTGCCAAGCGACAGTTTGGAAGATGGCTGTCACTTCGAGTCTCTCTCAGACAGCTGTCGAGTTTTTGGGCGTGAATAGTAACCAGGGGGAGGTCCAGACTGAACACCAGCCATGTCTCCTGATTTGGCTCCCTCCCTTCGCTGTCCGCCTGGGCGAGCCTAGTCCTGGCCACCGTGGGCATCTCCCTGAGGGTCATGGCCCTGCTCGGTGACCCACAGGCCCTGTCCTTTCTACCAAATTAACTATAAGCTGGGCCGGGCATTCCAGGCCCCGCTCACCCTGACGCGGACTCACTTCCTCACTGTGTGACTTCTCCAACTGTGTCCCAAAGGGAGCCTCTTGCTCCTCCCCTAACGCTCTTGGTGCTTCCATGTTTCTGTGCCTTTGTTCCTCCTTCTCTCACTGGGGCCTCTGACTGTCAAAACCAACCCTTTCTTCAAGGCCCATCATCTTCGCAGCCCCTCTGTTCCTAAGCCTCTCTGCTCTTTTCCCTCCGAACTGCCTCCGGCCCCGTCCTGTCGTGCCGACCACCCGGAGCTCCCTGAATGCAGGTCTGGCATCCAGTATGCGGGGCCCGTGTCCAAGCCCTTGTGAGGTGTGGGCTCGCCCACCGAGATGAAGGGCCATGTGTCTCACCCATCTCTTCGGCTCCTGAGACTTAGCTTGAGTACAGAAGGTGCTCAAATCCTCGGTTAAACTGAATTGAAGCAAATGTCCTCTTGTACGAACCTCACTCTGAGGCTTGCTGCGGCCACCCTAGTGCCACTCCTAAGTGTGCCCATCACCCAGTTAAAACCAGTGCCTGGCCCTCGACTATGAAAAACATCAGAGAAAAAAAACTCGCGCCTCATTTGGATCCAGTGAGTCCCAGAGCTGACAAGAATGCCCTCCGAGCACCTGGGTCCCGCGTGCAGCCTACAAAAGCAGAGACATTCCAGGTTCCAGCTGGAAAAGAACTCTGGCTGTCCCCTTTATTTCGGAGGCACTCTCTCCAATCTCTTCCCCCTGCACATGCCACCAGCACAAACTCTGGATGGGCTGACATCCTATTTCCGGTTTCTAAAGCATTTCTGCTTTTCTGAATGGCAGACTGCTGTCACGGCAAAGTGCAGTTCCCAGTGGGTAGGACATCTGTCCACCTCCACTCACCCAGGGATCTGTGACAGCGGTGCCCTGGCGGGCTGAATGAGAAGGCCACCCTGAGAAGAACAAAGCAACCTCAAAGCACACACGTCATCTGTGGAGACGGTGACATGCCACGCTTATTCAGGCACACTCTTATTTTTAAGAGCAGATACTTCGCATGACTAAACTAGCATGCTACATGCTACATGCCGGTTTACACGATCCATGCTCGTTTATTCTTGCAGAAATAGCATTTAGAGTAGCCTTCGTGTTTCATTTCATTTGCCCAGTCTGCTGAGAAATAGACACCTTTGCAGGTGATCACTGATCATGAGAGAGCATTTGTACTGGTGGAAAACTCCCAGTTAAGTATTTAGCCAGAACCACCGGAAGTTAATGCGAGAAATGTTAAATCTCTTGTTCTGGAACCCACAAAGAGGCTAAGGATTTCAACCGTTAGTACAGCAAATTCTGGAAGCCCGCAGAGAGGTGTCTCAGATTGGGGTGAGTAGACACGTTCACATAAATGGCTCGGTGGAATGCCTGCAAATAATGGGTGAGGTTTCAAGTGTTCTGAGCGACTCCAGTTTCTGGCTCGAGGTACGCTCGTTCAAGAAATTTCCTCATGGCGCTTAACCTCTGCAATAATGGATAAAACTATGTTTTCCTTGGATGCTCCTAGAGAAACTGTATAGCATGGCAGTGTTAAGTGTTACTATTTCAGGTAGTCAAAAGCAATTTCAGATGAGACTTTCACGGCCAGCAGGTTCTAATACTTTAGTGCCTGCTATTCTCATCAGGTTTTATTAGACAACATTGTTCTCCAAGAGCTAGAAATTTAGCAAGAAGACTTAGATCCATTTTGGTTTTCTACGATTTACTGCTGTACACACGTGTCTGAGGTGAAAACGATGGTTTCTAACAGCAGACTGGATTAGGCTCACTCAAGCATGGACCCTCATCTTTCTCCTGCCGGTGACTCCTGCCTCTGAAGTCCACTCTCAAAGGCCTGTGAAGCAGGAATCGGATGCGTTTTCAGGAGACGCTCTGCAACCTGCTGTTGCAAGTGAACGTTTGCGATTGGCGAAGGGTCCAGCGAAGAGTCTGCTGGGGAAGCTCCACACCCGGTAAAGAGTTCCGGGCAACGCCTCCGCCCCACTCTCGTGAGACCGTGTGGTGGCGATCCCCCTAGAGTATTTTGAGGTGAGCTGATATTCAGGGGTGATTATGAGTGTGGGAACTGAGGAATGAGATCTGCTGGAGAACACGCTTCCCCTTCTCACTTCCCAGGGCTCTTGCTGAGATAAGCTGAAATGACCCTGGCCATGGCTCCGAGCTAGTTCTACAGAAGTTCAAGGCCAAGCAGTTGCCAGGAAGAGTACAACTGGCAGGTTGTGTGCTTCTTTCTTATTTTTTTATTTTAAATCATCGCATGTGATCTTTTTGGGGGTCTGTTTTGCTAGCCATTTTTTTTTTTTTTTTTAGGATATAAGTCTACCAGTTCAAATAATTAAGCTTTAATAAAAGAGACATTTGCTGATTGATGAGCAGGATGGTCGTGACCCAGCCGAAGGATGCAGGCCCGAGGGGTTACGTGCCTCCCTCAGCTGTGTCAGCAGCAGCAGGAGGACAGAGCTGCCGTCAGCAGAGGCTTTCAGCCAGAATAAGTCTGCTGCGCCCAAACCACCCCAGACCCAAGCCTGCTGCATGGACAACCTCAGCGTGCACGTGCCCCGCACGCCGGAGACTCCCATGAGCTTAAGAGCTCAAGCACACGCTTCCTGTCTGCATCCATCTTCACATCAGCAATGAAGTCAGTAAAATATGAGTTTAACTTAAAAAAAAAAAAACAAACCACAGAAACAGAATCCAATGTATTACATTTTTTTTGAGAGTATAGTTTCCCTTTTGAAAACAAATAATTTCGCAACGGGAAGAACCTAACCGTGAGTATCAGTTTGGAGAGGCACGGCAGCTCAGCATCAAGGTAAGCTTAAGCTGCCTCTGTCATTCTCTGAGGGGAATATTCCGCAATTACATTCGACACCCCCAATGCCACATTAACCTTACAAAGGGAGGTGAGACTGGGAAACACCAAAACGCTCCTCGCCGGCGATCCCTGTCTATCAAGCTCTCATTTTAAAGCGTGCGTCTCAGACACCACGCCGCACAGGTTCTCACCTTGTCAAAAGCAGGGTAGACAGCGCGGATTTCCGTCAACCAGCCATATGGCATGTGACCCACCGGGTACGTGGCTGTCAGAATCGCCACTGCCTGCAAGAGGAAGAGCCAGCAGTTAGTATCGCAGGGAGCATCTCCAGTACCTGCCGTGTGCCACGTGGCAGAGTGAGCTGTTTCAGGTGCGGCCTCTGGTGACAGATCACTCCACACTGGGGGACGAGGACAGCCCTGGAGCGGGAGGAAGGGGCAGGTGCATCACTCTGTCCCTGGGAGGGGGGTGAGGGGGCCCAGAGAGGGAGCCGGAGACCAGGAAGATGCGTCTTATTTTACACGAATCTCATGAGAAACAGATCCAGGTCCAGATGGCTCGCTCGAGAAGCCAAGATCTCGACCCAGGTCCAGACTCCAGAATCTTTGCTCTTTCCATAGAGCCAAACCGAACCCTCTAGTCTAGCCCAATTCTTGGGTCTCAGAGTATGATTTTGAGTCCTGTCTGCTTGCTCAGTCTTTGCTCAGGATCCGCCTCTATGCCTTCATCTTGTCCTTCAGGGTGGCTGAATCTATGTGTTTGTTGATGACTTTATGTGCCCTCCTTCGGACTCAACTCACTTCCAATCCATTCAGCCAGGAGAGCCCAATTTTGATTTTTAACTTAAGAACACTAAATAACTATCTCTTACAGGAAGCCAAAGATGTTCTTCCAAGAAAATGAATTTCTTTTCTTACGTGAATGAAAAGGAAATGAAAGCAAAGCATCTAACCCTACATTTTGGCAGAGTTCAACTCTCTAGCTAGCAGGCAGAGAGGTGCAGGCTGCATCTGTTTTAGTTAACTAAACGGCCATGCCAGGAACCTGGGGGAAGTCCCCCGCTGGAAGAAACTGCCTTGGGAGCGATGTGCTGGAATTAGGTGGACCTAGGTTCACACCTCCACTTCATCACCTACCAGCTGCGTGAAGCATGAGCCTCTCCTTCCATCCCTCCGTGAGAATGACAACACCCATGAACATGGTTTTGGAGAGCCAGGGACATGTACGTGCATGCCAGCGTATCAGCAGATGGTCAATAAATGTCTGTTCTGTACCCCATGTGCTGTGTCTCTATGCCATCCAGGTCCATCGAGAACATCTCTTAATATATAAGTTGCTTTTTTTTTTTTTTTAGGGGAAGACAGAATTCTAGCACACAGGGTCACATACTTTTTTACTGGGCAACTTATTCTGCAGTTTTTAAGTGAAAAAGCTGCTGTGTTACAGACGCCACCCAAGATGACATTCATGATTCAAAAAACAAAATCCAGAACCGAACTGAGGCAAGAGTTAGTGTGCTCATGATTTATGTGCTTCTCTTTCCCAGCCAACACGAGCTGCTTCCCAGGACGAGGAAACTGGCAGGAGACCCCGGCCGGAGCCCTGCTGGCAGAGCGGTCAAGGGCAGTGCGTAAACAGGAGGCTCTAATGAGCAGCCGCCAGCCTTCCTGAAGGATCAGCAGTTCCAGAGACAGAATTAGTTCTCCAGAGGGCAGTGAAGGAAACAAATGATTTGTTCATACCATGCCTGAAAGATGGAAAAATGATTCAACTCTTTCTTTGGAGCAGCTGCCAGTTTCCAGGTAACTTTCTTGACCTGTGAGTGAGTCAGTCATGGGGCTGCTTATTGCAGGGGGTGGGCTGCCGACGAGCGAGCACAGGAAGCCACGAAGCCACAAGGGCTTGGGTGGGATGTGCAGGGGGCACAGAAAGAACAGGTAAGAGCTGGTGGGTCAGAATAGAAGCATCGACCCGCCCCCTCTGGCTGTTCTCCCTCCTGCAGCTGCGGTGGCCTGGTCCATCATCCTGAAACCACAGTGCTGACTCCAGAAAACATGGAAAGGCCATTGCGCCAGAGTCAGACAATGTGGATCCTTATGGCTTCCTGGGGTGACCATGTCACATAAATCTGACATCACAGAACTACGTGAGCTCTCAAGATGAACTGGAAGCAAATTTGTAATCGGCTTCCCCAGACCCCGTTCTTTGTGAGGTGACTACAAGCGCCCACGTCCCCAGAAACCACCCTACCTCTGTAGCTGCAGAACTGCCACCAAGGTCCCGAGAAACGAAGAGGTTGACGATAGGCCGGCTGATTCTCTGCGTAGCCAAAATGAGAGCCAGAGGCCACCAGAAGCTCAGCATCTTCCTTATCGTGGCGTCTCCCTGCATCAAGAAATGGAGAATGAGGTTCGCTACAGTCTAGAAGCAGAACAGGAAAGACGACGATTCAGAGTCAAAGCTGTTCCTTTTGATGTCAACAGCGAGTCAAGTCGTTATGCTTAAAAATAATATAAGCAAATGCCTCTGTATTCAAGCCAGGTCGAATTAAAATAGTATGGACAGTTGAAATAAAATTCACTCAGACAGTTGGCAAGCTACTGTGAAATCAACACACATTTGGCCTTGATGGATCCAAACCACTGTTTTCCAAACAGAGCAATTCTAACCCAAGTAGATAGACCCCAACTCCACGGCCTGAGGAACAGCCTGGAAATTAGTCTTTGTTTAAATCATCAAGTTGACTGGCTAGAAGCCATGTCAGTAAAAGGTAACACTTGAAAGTAAAAAATTACTTATTTTGGAATCAGCTCACAAATGTGCCTAATTATTTGGACACTATGTAAATCTACTACAGAGGTTCTTACTCTCAAAGCTCTAACACATGTTCAGAAGCATAGGCAAAATAAAAGTATGGCAAAGAACATGCCATCTATTAAGAATTCTACAGAGGAGATGGGCATTATCTTTAAAGCCTGGCTTTCACTATTTAACTGTTGTTTTGATTGTTTATGAAGGTAAAAGACACGTCATGGGACCATCTCAGCCACCTATGTCCCTTTGCTGGTGGCTGCATGTTAAGAGATGGATCGTCAGCATGAAGGCCGATTTGATGTGGCTGTTCTTGTGATGGAAATAACTAGATATGGTTTTACTGGTGGCCTGACCTGGATCCAGGTTAAGTGGGCAATATAATTATCGTTCTGACAGGACGAACGTGACGTGGTCAAAGGTGGGATCAGGGGGTGGAGTGTCGTGATTTATTCGGTGCTATATATTGTCACGCTCATCTGCCGTATAGCTAGAGGAAAACTAACCCAATGACATCTACTACCTAAGAAGAGAAAAGATCAGCATACATACAAATCAGACACTGTCAATACTTTGATGAAAAGGATGCATTGGTCACTTGTGTCACATTATACCTTGCTTGTTTCTTATTCAACTTTTGAGGCACAGGCCAAGCTCCGCCTCCATCGAGGCGGCGTCCAGCCCCTATTACTACCTCCCTTCCCTCAGCTTCAGAGGCTCTTCTGTTCTCACGGTATCTATTTTCTTTCTTGGGTTCATGTCTACTGCTTTTGTGTTGGTCTTATCTGTCAAACGAGACATATGAGGGTGGGAATCATATTTAAGATTTCCCCATGGTACTTAAAACGCTCTGCTCATTACATCGAAGGTTCCTGCATGAGTGACTGTGTCTGGCCAGTCCAGAAAGTACAAACAAATCCTGAATCCCTGCTGTAAATTAAAAATAATCAAATGCGAGTTCAAAGGTACTATGGGTCCTAAAATCTTCGCGGACTACAGAATGACTTTTGACACTGGTGAGTAAGGACCATAAATGCGCATCTCCTGCTTGGCCTGACCTGTCTGACGGTACCTCGGTCTCATACAGAGATGAGGAGGTTGGAGAGTGACCTCCAAGATCACCTCCATCTCCAGAGTGCATCAGTCCTCCGGCTGTCTGTCCCTGTGGACACTCCCTTACACCTGAGGTCTTAGAGCACGTGCTCATTATACTGACTTCTCACTTCCTGGAGGGGCGGGGGGAGAACTTTATTCCACCCGAATGTACAGAAGGCTGCCGGCGAGTTCTACGCACGTACCCCCAGCTCCGGCCCGCTCCTGTCGGGGATGATGTCGTGGATGTTCCTGTAATAGCCCAGGCACAGGGTGGCACAGCGCACGAGGGCACCCATGTACAGGGAGAGGATGGGGATGAGCAGGGGCTCTCTGCACTCCAGGTGGCTGTGGAGCAGGATGGCTACGAAAACGACCTGAGAGATGGGGAGACAAGAACCGGTCAGACGGGGTGGGGGGACAAAACCAAGCAACTAAGCAACAGAAGCACGGCCCAAAGTCTGGCACCCACACGGGACGGACGGGTTTCTGAGCGAAAACCTCGATCGACACTGAGAAAAAAGAGTACAGCTACGGCTCAGTACAGCTCTCACAGAATTCAGGGCCACGCGCCTGGCATTTTGGACGATTACACGGCACTCTGTCATCATCGTCACTTTTAAGGCCACTGCGCACCTGGCTGAGGTGATCGCTAAAAAATAGCTAGAAACTTTGGCTCCCCAGGCCCCAAAGATGCAGCCAAGCTTTTCTCTCGAGGCTGAGGTGCATATATAATCCACACCTGAGGACCTAAGTTATCTTACACACACACACACACACACACACACACACACACACACACACACACATCAATGACCCGCTACAGAAAAACAGACGTTAGTGTTTATAAGATGGAATTCACTAAAAATGCTGCCAAAACACCAATATGAATTATTATAAAACAAGCTCAATTAAAATTTAAAGTATTAAGTTATAAAAGTGGAACAGGTCAAAAAATAGAGTCAAGAGGGACTGAAATAATAATAGAATCTCTGAAGTAAATGTGACAATGTATTTATCCTCCTGTCCGGCAGAGATCGGAGAAGCAGCCCTGCCTCCCTCCAGTGTCCTCCTGGGACCGACCCATTCAGAAGCCCACTGAGGCGTACTGGGTGCAAAAGCAGTGTGATGGACCGGGCAGCGGAGTGTGTGTGTGTGTGTGTGTGTGTGTGTGTGTGTGTGTGTGTGAGGGGGTGACATATTCCTCAGCTACATCGTCAACCTTAATAAGCCAAATATCCACAGAATGACAGGCATGTAAAATACGCTACCACCCGAGTGAGCCTGTCCAAATGAAGCTTGTCCCGATCACGTGAAATCAGTGACAACGGCAAGCTCAAAAAAGACGTCGGAGGCCCAGTGTGATTCACTAAACGAGCACATTCATTGCCACAGGGAACCCTGGAAAGCAGAGTGATCCCTCAAGACTCTACTGAACGAAAAAGAAGTGTTAGATGCTACAGGTGGTTTGCTTACAGCAGACGCCGATACCTGTCCCCGAGCTGTTGTTGTCAAACCAGTAAATGAGACAGACCCCGTCACGGATGCCCTCGGAGGAAGATGCAGGACAGAGGCACCACTTGGCTGCGTGGACACACTAGGCTGCCTGCGGCATGGACAATATAAGTGGACACAAACTGGGGCAGTGCTCTCACTGGTGGTCACCGAAGGACAGGAGCAGAGATGCCCACGGCCATCACCAGGCTTGTTGCTTCCTAGTGTAACCACCGCCGTGCTAAGTGAAGGCTGCAGAGACCAGCTGGGGAGCCTCGTGACGGACCCATCGTGTTTGGAACAGAGACTGAGGCTTCGTGATGGGGCGAAGGTGCCCGTTTATTTCGCCAATGAATGTGAGGCCTCTATGGTGTCCTAACATGCGAACTCTGACGCGCCCGTCTGCAGTGAGCTCATCATCCGACACACGCAAACGCACACTGCAAACCGAGGGGACCGTGTTTAGAGACTGAACACGTGCTGTATGAGAAACGAATACGTGAAGACCAACCCTTCCTCCGCCGAGTCCGGGAAGCCTCCGGGGCCGTGAGGATGGCCATGCAAGACCGAGGAGGAGGATCCGGACATGAAGGGAAAGGGAAGCAGCGGGAAAGCGGGCAGATGTGGGGAGCGCCCGGAAATGGGACGGAGGGATGGAGGGCCGGCAGGACGTGTTCGCCGGCAGTGCTCCCAAGGCCATGTTTTTAATAGTTTGGTGCCACGTGGTCCAACGCGTCGCGGAGCTTCCATCTTCACTGTGGATCGTGTCGTTTATCAATTTAAAATAACCCGTGGGCCTTTGCTTCTCACCCCAGAATTCCGACTTTGCATTGATAGAGTCATCGCAAAATGCCTGACTCTTTTCGGAGGGAAGCCGAGTGTCTTAGTGGTGAGGATTTTCCCTGTTACGTGCTGGCCCCACGCCAGGCGCTGCGGATGCCATGACAATTTACAGAGTCCCAGACCCCGTAATCTTGGAGCTGACAGTCTAGTCGAGGAGGTAGAGAAATGTTAATCAAACAGCAGTTTTAAAGCAGGTTTCAGGCAGGGGGTGAGGTGGACAGAATCTCCCTGAGAATAGATCACCATGGCCGCAGTGGGGACGGAGGGAGGAGAGTGAGGAGGCTCCTCAGGTGCTGCAGGTGGGGAGGGAGATGCCCTGGACCAGGGCGAGCGCGGCGGAGACGAGAGGAGAGGGCAGATCAAAAAGGACCTGGGACTAAAACCCAAAAGGCCGGTGATGATGAGGGGTGTCATTAGGGTGCTTTGCCGGATTCTGACCAGACGACAGGGCCATTAACTTACTCAATCCCTGTTTGCTATGGAAGACAGGGATTCAGGTTTAGGGTGCCTTTAAAGAACCCAAGTGGAAATATCAGAGACATTTCTCCGCCTCCATGGAGAAATCAGTCTCCCAAATCCCTGATTATCAGAATGCCGTGTAATTTATGGATTACAGGAATTAAATCTAATTTTCTGCTGAAACTTTTCATGCAGTATCCTTTGTGGAAAAAGGAAGAAAGGAGGATGGAAAACTAGGGCTGGTGCCAGGCCCCAGGGGGCTCGACTCGACAGACAGCGTGATGAAGGCCTCTTCTTGTCCGACGGCATCTGACTTCCCGGTTCTTTTTAAATGTGGAGAAATGACCTGCGAATGGCAGTCAGGCGTGGCAACAACATGAGAAACAAGATTTAAGAATAATTAAGATAGAGCTCTGCCTAGAACCAAGCGACAGGCCATGTATTGTCAGGCCACACAGAGGGCCGAGTGTCCACCCAGCCAAGTGCACGGTGACCCTATGGACACCCCACAATGTGCTCGCTGTGACTTTATAGTCATTTCACATGCAAGCTCTTTAAAAGCCCGGTCAAAAGCTCTGATGCTAAATTTAATTTCCTAAAACCCTCATTCAAGCACGATCATGCAGACTCGCATCCTAAGAGGCTCATTCTCCCGTCCGTTTCACAAACATTTATCGAAGTCCTCACCGGGTTCGAGTGAGGCAGGAACGCAGAGTGAACGAACGTAAGGGAGGCAGCAGGGCTTCTCCCACTCCAGAAAGAGGCTCTGAGAGCTCTGACCGACACGCAGACCTTACTCACCTGAGCTATGACATCTGAGATGGAGGCGCATCCTACCAGGAAACTGTATTTGTGTTTTAAGAGGATGCCAGCATGGGTCCACGCCTGCCGGAGGAAAAGAGTTCGGCATGAGAGACACCTTCAGGATTGTATTATTTCTGGTCATTGTGATTTACTGGGCGTTCCTGAAATAGACTTTCTACGCCCCATCCTCCCCTGCCAAACCTTAGGAGCACAGGTCTGATAAATCTTCAGTTGGTAAAATGACTGTAACATATTACTGGGCGTTCCTGAAATAGACTTTCTACGCCCCCACCCTCCCTCTAAACCTTAGGAGCACAGGTCTGATAAATCTTCGGTTGGTAAAATGACTGTAACATGGTGTGGTGGCCAGATCCATGTTCGATTTTTAAGTGAGATCAGTGACCACACAGTATTTAGTTCATACCAATTACATGCAGCCGAGTGCGCAGGCTGGGTCCACGCGCCTGGCAGGAAAGCCGAGTCGATACCAGGGATGGGGGAAACCGGTTCCCCTCTCTCCGAGCAGCTGAATCATAAGCCGCAGCACTCTGCGCAGATGAAGCCCGTATGAGGGGCCCTAACGTGGCTCTGAGTTACTGCCATCACTACAGGTTCTCAGGGACTGGGTAGGGTCCCTCTACTTCCTTCTCTTCAGGTTTGCGCAGGATCTGGTCCGACACTTTGTGCCATTAAGGGAAATTAAGAGGAAGGTCCTTTAAGGGGAGTAGACAATGAGAAGCCCAGGAGACGGCAGGTTTGGAGACGTTCTGAAGTTCACGATAGCATCTGTTTAAGGATCAACCTTCTACCCTGTAAAGGCCAATCTGGACTGACACAGAAACAATATTTCCTCTGAGCTCAATAGGTCTGTGTCAAGACTTTACATAGCGGCTGCTACATCTACTTCTTTCCTCGGCTTATAGGTCCCAAGGTGCCAAATGTGAAAAGAAACGCAAACTGTAGATAACATTTGCAAATAGCAGCTTCTGGGCTGTCTTTGTTGACCAAACGCCAGCTGCACAATAAGCTCTGTGGTTTTCAAATATTATTTCTCCTACCAATATATCAAGACCACGATACAGGGGCTGCGTGTGCGTGTGTGTGTGTTTGGAGAGATGACCTGCTTTTCATAAATGTTCATTATTTTGGTTTTTAGTAACAGTCTCTTACTCTTGGGGTCTTTGGGGAAATGGATAGGCGAACCGCGGAAGAAAAGGGTGCTCATCGTTTGTGTTCTGGGGTTACACGGAGTTTTGGAAACTCTCACGGCAAACAAGGACAGCTAAAAGGAATTGGGATCTAAGGCACTTAAGAGTTTGTGGTTCACTTTCACTCACAGTCCCGAGTTCCCCTAATTCCCCGAATGCCTGGAACTCTTCTACGTGTTTGTGATACGAGATGGGTGGGCGGCCATTAGAGCAACACCACGGACTCTGTCTAGGAAGTCAGGCTTTTCCTCTCATAGGGGGTGAAAAAGATCACTTCGTCCAGTTCTCTCACTGATTTGAAAGCACTGTGGTGCCACCGTAGGCCGCCACGGACACCTTGGAGAATCTGGTTCTGTGGGCCCCAACACCTTTGCTTTTTTCTTTTCTGGGTATGTGTCAACTCGGAGTGATCACACCTGGTGATGAGAAAAAAGGGTATCCAGGTACGAGTGCTCTGATGGCCAAATTCTCTACCTAAAGCGACAATTTAGAATCAGACCTGAGAGTTTAAAATTTAGGGCTCCCCTGTGAACTGGTGGATAGCTGTCACAGAGTCACTGAGAACATGTCACTAACCTAACCGCAGGCAAACCGAGACTTCCGATGACGTCTGGAAAAATGGCCCGCACGTATTTTTACCTTGCCTCATTCGGCCATGGATTCGGGGCTGCTGCCTCGCCTCCATGCAGATGTCCCTTTACCTCACGTAGCGAATGGATATAAAACATGAGGTAGGGCTGGTAAGAAAACCACACGGATTAAAATGTTTACGTCTCCTTCCAAGGGTAATTTAAAATGAAAGGGCTTCTTTTCCAGTATTGGACATGACTGGAAATACTCGTTTTGCTAAGTCTTATGTCTATAACACAGAGGAACAGGAAAAAAGCATCGTCTGAGAACTCTTCAGGACCATGACGAAGAATTTCATCTATGGAAGTGAGCCGCCCTGAGCTAATGTGGAAAAGCCGGTTATTGAAGTGATGAAATCCCATCCGTCTATTCCAGAGATTCTCATTCTAAAAAGCTTTAGGTGCTTAAATCAAAAAAGGAGCAAGTTTATCGTCAGAAAGCTAGCCTGATCCTTTGATCCTAAATATGTCAAAGAACTTTACATATGAATCAAAATTTTCAAATGCCCTCTCTTGCTGCCTGTCAAAACTTATTACAAACATAGACGATTCTCATAAACTGGCAAGACGGACTGGTTAAAAGTCAATGGTCCATTGGAAACCTTCCGGCTGCTGGGTGTAAGATGGTGCAGCCACGATGGGACTCAGTACAGTGGTTCCTCGAGAAATTAGAAAGAGAATCACTGCATGGTCCGGCAATGCCACTGCTGGCTATATACCCCAAAGAAGCAAAACAGAGACCCAAAGAGATATCCGGATACCCAAGTTCAGAGCAATGTTACTCTCAATAGCCAAAAGTGGGGAGTAACCCAGATGTCCACTGGCGGACGAATGGAGAAACAAAATGTGATGCATACACGCAGTGGAGTATCAGTCGGCCTTAAAAAGGAAGGTTATTTTGACACATGCGCCAGTGCGGGTGAACTCTGGAGACATTATACGCAGTGAAATAAACCAGTCTCAAAAAGACACGTCCTGTAATCCCACTCGTACGAGGCGCCCAGAGTAGTCAGATTCATAGAGACGGAAAGTAGAAGAGTAGATGCCAGAGGCTGAGGGGGGTGGGGAATGGGCAGTTAGGACTTAATGCGGACAGGGTTTCAGCTTCACAAGATGAGAAGAGTTTTGAAGGTTCACAGCGAAGCGAACGCACTTCGTGCCATTGAACCGTATACATAAAAATGATTAAAATGGTTTAAGTCTTAGGTTGTGTCTATTTCATCGTAATTTAAAAAAGCCGACTCTACTCACCATCGCGTCCATGAAGGGGAAGGCGGCGAGGTACAGGAAGGCCCTTCTTGTTTTGCTCCCCACCGACTCATCCACGTGGTGCAGTTTATTGATGATGTAGTAGCCTAAGTCGCTATAGGCTGCAAAAGCCAAAAAAACATACACCGTGGTAGTCAGAAAAAGTTACCTTTGTATGCTTTTCCTCTCAAAAGTTTAAACACGATTTTAAATGTAATATATCCATAAATATATATATTGGTAGAAAAATGTGAAAATTTAGATGACCGTTTTTTTTTTTTATGGGGGTGCGTGTGGCGGTGTGCATGTGTGTTTTAACGGAAAGATGGGATCACGCCGTGTACACGCTCTTGTGAACTACGAACCGTTTCCACGTTTCCACCTGTCAGTGCTTGTACTACGTTTCTTTTCATAGGTATATTTAGCATCTTAATCTCCTAGGACCGTACATTTAGGTGGTTTCCATTAGTTTGATGCTATAAAAGAAGGCTTGATAGATAAGTCTGAAGCTAAACGCTCACACATATTTTTAATTATTTACTAAGGGGAAAATCCCCAGATGCTACCATGCCTTTTCAGAAAAAATTTTAAAGCTTTTCACCACTCGCCATTCCTTTCCTTCCGTTTTATGTCTGGCAGGAGGTGGCGACGTTGGGCATAACCCTGCCCAGTGAACAAATGATATCTCTGAGGTGCTTCTGAAGTCCCTCCGACATCAGGGTTTGTGACCAGTGTGTGACTGGAACGTAATGGGGACTTAACCACTATGGGCCGAATGGGAGCCTAGGTGTCAAACAGATGTAAAGGAAGCATGAGAAAGCTCATCTCGATGCACGAGTGGGGCATTCCGACGGATGTGAGCAAAGATAACGTAAAAGATTAAGCTTGTTCTATCTCATCGATACGCGTTGAGGCCGCATAGGAAAATACTCAGCTCTGTGTTTTTTTGTGGTTTTACAAGTGCTTTAACAGAAGTGTTCCCGCTGATTTCGTCCTTTTAGAAATATGAATGTGAACGCACTGGTAACTACAGGCCGTTCTGAAATCAGAACGGAGACAGGGCACAGCGAGAGCCTCACTTTGGGAGGAGGAGTCAGAATCCTTCCCCCCATTTCAAAGCTTGGGGGACGACTTATGACCACATTAACTGGTAAAAAGAAATGACCGTCCATCTTCTGTCAGAATGAGTCTTGAATTACGGAAACTGTGAACTCGGAGAGGTCTTAGCGATGATAACAAGAATGCTTAAATGCACGAATGGGAACCCCAGCGGGGAAGGAGGTGCAAGTAAGTGGTTTCGAGGGGAAGAGGGCAGGAAGAGAGAAGATGCGTGGAGAACAAGGCGGACGGGGGAGGCCAATGCAGCATGAGAGGGGCAGAGGTGAAAACCATAAGGTGAGCTGCCAGGTAACCAAAGGTGTCAGGTGCGGAGTGTGTTGGGGCCACTGAGGCAGCAGGAAGATGCATCCAGGAGGGAGGGTGTTGCCCGGTGGCAGAAAGAGAAAAGGCATGGGAAGGCGGGATTAGTTACAGAGAGGGACAGGGTCGGAAGGAGGCCGTTGTGATGTCCCTGTCTGGATCAGAAGATACACAGGTAGAAGTGGATTGGAGAAAGCTCCAGCTGAGGCATTCAGACCTGAGATAAGCTGGCAGAATCATGGAGCCAGGACGGAGATGTTACTTTATCATACAATTAGTCTACTTTAGGTGCTGAACCTTGGACATTTTGTCTTAAAGTTTATTGTTGCTGCCGTTTATTTGTGCATTTGTTTCCATTTAGTCAGGGAAAGTTCACCGTGCTAGGACCTGCAAAGGGACGGTGCTGACCGTGTCCAAAGCACTGCTGGCCCCTGGCAGAGGCCGCCGGCCATGCTAAGGGCGGCCACGCCGGGCGAGCAGAGCAGTGCAATGCCAAGTGCAAGAGCCCAGGGCTGGCTATGAATAGCTCATGAGCTAGAATTCCCCGGCAAAGGTTAGAGTTGACATAAAATGCCAGCCGAGTGGACGTGACTGGGGACCAGAAGACTGGTGAAAGGCTAGGGTGTGGAGGGGTGGTGTTACGGGCTGAACTGAGTCCCTGCGAAATTCTCCTGTTGAATCCTAGTCCCCAGTCCTCAGAATGTGACCTTATTTCGAAACAGAGTCATTGCATAGGATTGGTTAAGATGAGCTCATCCTGGAGTACAGTGGCTCCCAATCCATCATGGCCAGTGTCCGGCAAAACTGGACACAGAGGTAAATGTGCACTAAGGGAAACGCCACGTGAACCTGAAGGCAGTGACTGAGGTGATGCCAGCAAAAACCAAGGAACGCACAGATGCCAGCGAACTACCAGAAGCCGCGGGCGGCGCCTGAACAGACCCTCCCTCCCGGCCTCGGAAGGAGCCAACGCCGATGACACTGTGATCCGCCAGCCTCCGGAACTGTGAGACGATAAATACACTGCTGTCGTTGGAGCTAGCCAGTGTGTGCGGCTGTGTTAGGACAGCCCTAGCAAACTCACGCAGGTGGCTTCTGAGAAAAGGAGAGAGTTATGTTCCCGTGAGGCAGGGCCAAGGAAGACAGGACACGCGAGTCTGAGACTGAGAGCTGGGTGCAGTTGGCGCGTATGGCCTGGGTCTGCAGACAGCAACGTCAAGGAGCTTCTCTACCCTCTGTGAATATACCTACATACGTTAGACGACTTTAACTCGATTATCAAAAACAGTGCCTTTCTGCAGAGTAACGAAGAGTAAACGTGGAAAGTTTAACTGGGGTGGTGAGCCCGGCCCCGCTTTCTGACTCTGGTGGAATGTGCTCCCTGCCCCTGCAGCTGGCATTGGGCTCTTCTGGGGTCTCCAAGTTCTGGGGTACTCTGGGACCGACAGGTCCAAGGCTGCCTTTGCTTCTCTTTCCTTCTTTTCCTCTTCCGGCTACCAGAAAAATGTGGAGGCCAAGGAACGCTTTTTCTTCCCGTTCTGTTTTTTCCTCCCTTCCTTCTCCTCCTCTCCTACAGGGCAGAGGAAGAGTCTGATAATAATAAGCACGAAGGCTGTTTCCACCTGTGAGCTGCGAATATAAAACCCTGGCAGCTGGTTTTCACTGTCCCCTCGCCCCTCCTCCCAGCCTGTGTCCTGGAGCTGTTTCTGGCTGGAGCTGCTGGCTGGGGGTAATTTGTTTAAAGTGCTTTGCATAGAGTCCCTAATTACCAGGCTAGCTGCTTAAACAAGTCAGTAACCTCCAACTTGCATAAACTGCCTTAACCGAGGAGATTGTTCTGAAGAAGCTCGTATTCTTTATGAAGGGCGGAACATTAAAAAGAAAAATTAAACGAGGTTTCTTAACAGATTTCCTGATGTGGCTGCAGTAGGAGGACACTGACTTGACTTATTTATTAAATATGTCAACAGCTTTGACCCCACCCAGCGAAGGAGAAAGCAGAAGGGCCATTCGAAGCCCTAGCTCCTCTGACCTCAGCCTGCTGGCCTTGATGGTTGTCCATCTAGTTCATCCAGTAGTTACCAGCACTTGTAAGATGCCAAGAAATAGCAATACTAACCCAAACAAATCTGTATACCTGTATCTTCCCATGGGAATCCGGGAGAAAGCCAGCCTCCAATTTTAATAACAAGATAATATGTGTGTTTCTGAGAGGCCAATTTGAGAACCCTTATTCTAATTTAAATTCCCAAGTTCCCTTGCTTAGAAGTCTCACTCTGGATTTGCCCACTATGCTTCTGTTTATTGGGCTTTCACAGGGGCGGGTACCTTCTCCGCGTTTCTAATATATCATTTCCAAAGTGTGTGGGTTTGTATGGCTGATATTTAAATCACTTCGGCAAAAAAGGTTGCATGACTTTCACGCGTCGGGCCCTGTGCCAGCTAACCCGGCAGTGAAGAGGCTGGTTACCTGTCTGAGGGCAGGTCGCAGACACGGGATATGCTCATGTACAGTCTGCACCGTCACCGTCATCTGGAAGATATGGGGATGGGAGGAACCAACACTGCCCAGGCCTTGGAGAGACATCATAAACCCATGCACGAAGGAAGTAAAGCAAACGTGAAGTTTTAGCACAAGAACGTAAGTTCTGTCTCACTGGTGGTATCAAGCGAGAGTCTCTGGAGTGGAGTGTGTAATGATATACTGTATAATGATCTGCTTTTCTCTAGAGAACATGCCCGATTCATGTCTGGATCCCCAGGATTCAGCCCAGGGTTTGCCACATAGAGGCGTTCAGGAGATACTGCCTGAATAAATTCATGACTCCATTACCCCGAAGAGGTGACTGGGACAGACAGACTGCAAAAACGTCCCCGATTCCTCTCTCCTCCTTACACCCCTACTCTGCAATGGTGGAGTCTAGTTCCTACCCGCTGGCCCTGGGCTGGCTTGTGATTTGTCTTGGCCAGCAGTACACGGTGGCGGCGATGGCCTGTCTCTTCTGACTCTTGGCCTCAGGAGACCTTGTGTGCTCTGTCCTCTCACTTGGAGTACTGCCTCAGCAGCCCAGGCAAGCTCGGGTTGTGCCGGTGCAGGATGAGAGACTGTGTGGAACAGAGCCCTGCTGACACAGCAGGGGCCACCCAGACCGGCCTGCAGTCAGCGGGCAGCACCGCCCCGCCCCGCGCCCACCCTGCCATGATCCTATCCAGATCAGCAGAGCCTCCTGCTGTCAGCCAACCACAGAGGCACAAGCACAGCCATGTCCACCCAGCCAACCCATGGCCCGGAAGCAAGAATAAATGCTTGTGTTTTGAGTCACTGAGTATAGGGGTGGTTTGTTACACAGTGACAAATTGTGAGACGATACTGAAACTGCCTGTTCATTGCTAGCATCCTTGTTGGTGTAAATTACATCAAATTGTACCAATTCACCCTTCACAGGGCTGCTTCATAATCATAAATAATGGAAAAGTTTGTTGACAAGGGAAGACTGACAAACAGAACCACTCTAGAAATTACTTCAGTTGCAACTGCTGCTCCCCTGAGCTCTGCTGACTGCCCAGGCTGCTCTGGAAGAGGCCTTACAGGTCCCTGTTGAGAATAAACATGTAAAAGAATAAAAACCCCCAGCAGTGGTTTCTCCACCTATGTGACGTAGCTGGCCATGCAATACTACTTCCGCGAAGGTGAAATTAACTT